CCGTCACCGAATCCTGCTCGCCCATCCGAATATGAGTCATCTTCTCCTCCAGCTACCCGATGTACAGGTCGTCCCTGACCTGGTACGTCGACATGATGAAGCACCATGCCTGGTGACCAGCATCTAGTCGCTCTCGACAGCTCCTGAGTGCTAGCTGCACCACCGGCAAGCAGCACCTCGAGATGACCATGAAGGTGAGCAGGTGAGCAGAACGAAACTCCCTGCACAGCTCGACATCCTCCTCGTGCGGAATTGGCACGGTGCCGTCAGCGAAGCCCTTTATCCCGGCGACCTCCAGCTGAGGTTCTATCCACTCCCTCCAGGTGATGAGGTCCCGTCGACCTTGCAGCGGTGCGACGGTGATCCGGTCCGGCGAGAATTTGAAGTAGCCATACGTCGGTGCAATCCTGCCTGCAGTCACATGCGTCGTCGCCGAGAGCCCTCCACCGCTTCGTAGAGGAGGGCGACGTCGAACATCGACGTCGGCATGCGAGCTGCCTGCAGCCGCCGTCGACCGCTGCACTCGCGCCTGGATTCCGTCGACACCACCGTCGACCTTGATCACCCCTCTCTGCCTTGTGCCTTCGCTGCCGCTGACTCGTGCACCACCATCGACCTCGTCGTCGACGCCACCTTCGTTGCGCACCGGTCGAGGAGAAGCAGGACGAGAAGGGTGTTCCGTCGCCCACTGCGACCGGATGCCCAACTCGGCGATCACCAAGGGGATCGTCCCGTACTCGCCATCCGAGTGGCGTCTTCTCGCGTCAGCCAAACGTGCCTCCAAGGTGTCCGCTACGCCCGCATCAACTACGGGGTCGACCATGGCGACTATCGCTGCTGCCGGCCTACGAACGACTTAGTAGGTGCAAACGTCGGCTCCTATCTGAAGGTATTTGCGGGGCCGTCCACGCTCACCGCACCATGCTGAGAGACACTCTACAACGGTAGTGAGCTAGACTACGGGGGTTGGCATGAACTACTAGAGGTGATCGTAGCTTTGCTTAGTTCCTTGGTGCTTGCACATTCACGGGAGAAATTGGCAAGAGTTTCCACTAGCAAAGTTGGAATTACAGAATGATTGAACAAGCAATGTCAGAATGACTACATCAGGCACCTAGCAACCCTGCAGCTAGCCTGGTCGACCGCCAGCACAGCTCGGTCGACCGCCAGCACAGCTCGGTCGACCGCCTGCCAACGTTGCGTAGAGGGGCCGCGCCAGCACTGCGGAAAGGCGACCTGCCAACAAAGCAGGTCGACGACTTGCCAACGCTGCAGCGGAGCAGCTGTCCAGCGTTGCCCCGTAGAACACAGCAGTGCGCACGCTCGCAGGTGCGCGCAGACAATTGGCCCGACTTGCCTTGTTGGGCATCCGTCGGCTGTTGTCTGCGCCTGACAAGCCACATCGACTTCGGGATACCAGCCTGCAGTCGCCTTCGCCATCGCGACCTCGACGACGTTCGCGTGCCTCCGCAGAACTCGTCGAGCAGGTTACCCGGTCGACTCGGACGACCACCAAGTGCTTACGGCCGACCACCACTGCTTCTGGTCGACCACCAGGTCCCTCTGGTCGACCACAACTCCCGTCGAGCTACCCCCTGGTCGACGGACCTCTTCCGTCGACCAGAACCGTCAGCGGTTGTCGCCGAGCTCCCCTCGTCGACCGCTGCTCACTTTTCAGGTCGACGGACTGCTCCGTCGACCTCCCGGTCGAACTGTAGGTCGACGGGATGCTCCGGAGACCTCCCGGTCGAACGGCAGGTCGACGGGATGCTCCGGAGACCTCCCGGTTGAGCTGTAGGTCCTGGTCGACATCCCACCCGTCGCCCAGACTAGTCAGTTGCAGTTGTCGAGCTCCCTGGTCGACAGCAACACCACAGCGGTCCCCTGCAGCTCGACGAAGCCTGTCGAGCAGCTCTCCCGCTGTGAACGATTGGCTGCTACTCCCGTACATCCGACCAAGTCGTCGGCGTTGCCCAAGCGAGGGCAGGGCCAACACTCCATTCCTGTTAACAACCCTGAATTTCAGAATTTCGAAAAATCCATCTCTCTAATAACAATGTTGTAATATTTGGAAAGAGAGGCCTAATTGCAGCCGTAATAGTAATGCCCCAGCAAGTAGTGTACGCGCTTAATATAGGCATGCACCTATAAGGAGTTTAAGGTCATGCTTAAATAATGGCATTGATACCAGAATAAAGCAGGCGAGATATCTCATCTATCGTAAGTGCATATTAAATATTCAACACTGTGCTTAATTTAAATCTTACTAACTACATGCCATTATAATTGTACATAAGGTGTTTGCGAGAGTCGGGTGAAAATGAGGGAGGGACGAATGTCTGACGGAAGGAGTGAGGGGGGACGAATTTCTGACGGCTTCTGTTTTGAGGCTCGTAACGGATGGCGAGCCTCAGCTTTGGCGCGAGAATCTTGAGATTTTGATTTCATCTCGGTCAAATCCGCGCCACCCCGATCTGTCGGAAAATATAATTTAATATTTTCTATATGTAACTGCCTGTAGGATTGGTTACTGTAGTTATAGCGTTTTCCTATTTGGTGGTGCACCTTTCTTGCTTGTTCTCTCATATTTGTACCCTTGAACATATAGTGAAACCCCTCATTCTCTCGACTCTTTTCTCCTTTTCAACTTTCTCGAACTCAACTCACTCGATCTAACTAGCCATGGCTCCTAAGCCTTGCTAGAAACTTTGACATGCTATCAGAGCTACCAAGGTCCTGACCTGTGGGCCCACCCTACAGCTTCCGCTGCTAATCTGTGTTCGGCACGCCCCATGACGTGCCCCTTGCCCTACTTTTCGCGGTCCCGTCGCCGCCCTTTCCTACGGCCCCGTCGCCTACCTGCGGCCCCGGCCCCGTCGCCTTCCTGCGGCCCCGGCCCCGTCGCCTTCCTGCGGCCCCGGCCCCGTCGCCTATCTGCGGCCCTACGGCCCCGTCGCCTACCTACGGCCCCGTCGCCTACCTGCGGCCCCGGCCCCGTCGCCTTCCTGCGGCCCCGGCCCCGTCGCCTACCTGCGGCCCTACGGCCCCGTCACCTACCTGCGGCCCTACGGCCCCGTCGCCTACCTGCGGCCCCGGCCCCGTCGCCTTCCTGCGGCCCCGGCCCCGTCGCCTACCTGCGGCCCCGGCCCTGTTGCCTACCTGCGGCCCCGTCCCCTACCTGCGGCCCCGTCGCCTCACTACGGCCCCGGCCCAGTCGCCCACCTACGGCCCCGGCCTCGTCACCTAACTGCGGCCCCGGCCCCGTCGCCTCCTTGCGGACCCAGCCCCGTCGTCACCTGCGGCCCCGCCACCTGCGGCCCCGTCGCCACCTGCGGCCCCGTCGCCCACTTCGGCCCCGATGCCACCTGCGGCCCCGCCCACTTGCGGCCCCGACCCCGCCCCGGCCATGTTCCGTCGCCAGCCGCGGCACACCGGGGGCACGTGCACCGCCCCCCCCCCCCCCCCTTTTCCCGTCACCCGTCGCGGCTCCTTCGGGGGCCGCACGCGGCCCCCTCAGGTCACCTCGACAGGTGCCGGGAGGGGCGACCTGGAAGGGGGGGGCAGGCGTCGCCCCCTCTGCCGCCTGCTTTGGCGCCCGGGGAGGCCGTGCGTCGCCCCCCCCCCCCCCCCCCCCCTTCTCCTCCTCCTTTTGTTCCCGCTGCTGCAGCTGCCGCTGGGGGGGAGGGTGTGAGGGTGTGGGGGAGCCAGAGGAGTGGTATTATTGAAACACTTTTCTCCTCCTGCGCAATCGTGATGTACCCCTTCAGAGGGCGCCAACTGCATACTCATCTCCTACAGCCAGTTATGGGGGCGTGTCGGAAAATATAATTTAATATTTTCTATATGTAACTGCCTGTAGGATTGGTTACTGTAGTTATAGCGTTTTCCTATTTGGTGGTGCACCTTTCTTGCTTGTTCTCTCATATTTGTACCCTTGAACCTATAGTGAAACCCCTCATTCTCTCGACTCTTTTCTCCTTTTCAACTTTCTCGAACTCAACTCACTCGATCTAACTAGCCATGGCTCCTAAGCCTTGCTAGAAACTTTGACACGATCGTGCTGCTGGTTAGGTGTAAAAGACGAGGGTTGTTAGGTACTGTTCACTTTGAAAAGAATGAGCAGCGCCCAGCCTATGATGTCGAGACATTTGGGCCAATCAGCGCCTGACTTGTCAACGAGCAGCATGTTTGAACGCACTCGGCTTGAAACTCCCCATAACCATTCCCAAACAGCGCTAACAGTTCCCTTAGAGCGAAGAGAGCACAGTAGTACTTCCCAATTGACTCAAAACCCCTTTTTTTTTGTGACCATACGTGATAGATTTGTGGGGCAACGTATGACTATCTGTGACAATCTTGTGATTATACCTAGATTTTGTGATCGTTCGCGATGGGCGAGTGATGATGAGCCCATGTTTGTGGCTGTCCATATAATTTCCTGGCTAAAAGTCATCGTGGCGAAATCCAATATGCCTGTGCGAGATTGAAGAGTTTGTTTCGCACTGGCAAACAGGTTGTTCAAGCGATAAAACCTGCCCAAGCCTCATTCAAATCTGTGGGTTTCGGGTAACAGGTTCGCTTTAGAGATGGCGACCCTTGGGGTTGGGACATCGAGCTTTTCGACTGAAGCAACCTACCAAGGTTCCAGCCACTGTCTGAATCAGCAGTCTCTCACTTGCTTCGTTCACCCATGCTGCTCTCCCTCACCACGCGCACTAGCCTAAAGTGCACTGCTTTCGTGCAGTGAATTGCCGTCATACCGAATTGCTGTTATGGCATCTTTACAGTCAGCAGCGATTCACGGCGCGTTAGCTGCCGAAGTCGCAGGAAGAGCCGCACAACCCGATTGTTGGAGCGACGCTGCCGTGATTCGTGGCTCCTCCAGTCCGGCCTTGTACCAACCGCACTGGCCGTCAAATTGCCATCCCTCGTTCGTGATCCGTCGCCGTTCGACGCGCCAGTCGTTACCTATTTCGCCACGGCTATCCCATCCCCGCCGTATGCAACCGTCGCGATCAGCGCGAAGCGGCAGCGGCAGATTTAAAGTTCCATTTGCGAGAGGTCCGTTGTTATCAGGAGAAGGAGAGCGATGCTGTTTCGGGCTTGCAAGCAGGTCATCGAGTGTGCGTTGCCGGGCGTCCACGTCACGTGGCCCTGACGACCAATCAGAGGCAGAAGCTGTGCCATCACGCGAGCATGCCAAGGCGGGTGACGCGGTGCTCGCCTCGGACAGCGTGGATAACGCAGATCGGCCTTCCCAAGGGCCAGGCGGCGGCAGCAGCAACGGGGGTGCGGCGAGCAACAGCGCCTTCCTTGCCGCAGGCCCCACGCGTCCCGCGTCTCTCGCCACGGAGCCCTCTCCCGCCACTGCCTCCGCGCCTGCTGTGGGGGCTGCAGGAACAGCGCGCGGGGACGATGGTGCAGGAGGGGGGACAGAGAAGGCAGAGGAGGCGGGGGAGGAGGGGGAAGAGGGTGAGGAGGAGGAAGATGGGGAGGAAGGGCGGGAAGGGGAGGTTCGTCGCACGTTGTGGTTTCCGTTGAACCTGGTGGCGGCGGCGGCGGCGGTGGTGGCGCAGAGCAGGGTGGCGCGCATGGTGGCGGCGTGGCCCCTGTGGCAGCAGAGGCGGCGGCTGCGCCAGCTGCAGGAGGCGGCCGACAGCAGCCCGGGGGACGCGCGCAGGCAGGCGGAGTACCTGGCGGAGCTGCTCCGCGCCGAGTCAGTGCCGTGCCCCCTGCGCCCATGGGCTCCCTGCCTCCCCCTCCTGCTGCCTCGCCTCCCCATGCTGCTGCACTCCCCTGTCCCCGTCCCATCCCGTCTTCCCCCCGTCCCATCCTGTTTTCCCCCGTCCCATCCTGTCTTCCCCCCGTCCCATCCTGTTTTCCCCCGTCCCATCCTGTCTTCCCCCCGTCCCATCCTGTCTTCCCCCCCGTCCCATCCTGTCTTCCCCCCGTCCCATTCTGTCTTCCCCCCGTTCCATCCCGTCTTCCCCCCGTCCCATCCTGTCTTCCCCCCGTCCCATCCTGTTTTCCCCCGTCCCATCCTGTCTTCCCCCCATCCCATCCTGTCTTCCCCCCGTCCCATCCTGTCTTCCCCCCGTCCCATTCTGTCTTCCCCCCGTTCCATCCCGTCTTCCCCCCGTCCCATCCTGTCTTCCCCCTGCCATCCATCGTGCCATCCGCGTCATGCATTTATACCCACCCCTCTACGTTGTACCTCTCCCGCCCTCCCTCTTATCTCTTCTCCTCCCTCCCTCTCCCCTCCCTGCTCTCCCCCTTCCCCTCCCCTCTCGTCCCTCACCGCCCTCCCCCACACCACATCAGCCCGGGGGCGGTGGTGCAGCGCTTTGAGGCGAGGCAGCACGCGGTGGACGCGGAGGGAGTGGCCATCTACCTGCGCGCGCTCGTCACCACCGACCGCCTCTCCTCCTTCCTCCCCTCCTCCAACAACGCCCGCCCCACCTCCCTCCCCTTGCTCGTATGCCCACCTCCCCTTGCTCGTATGCTGCTGGTCATTGCCGGTACGTCCTCCTTCATGCTCATGCATACATCACCTGCTATTGTCGCCTTCCCATCGCACCCTCTTCTGTCTCTCCACCCTGTGCTGACGTCATCAGCTGGAGGATCTGAAGCAGCGCGCCACGTCAGAAGAGGGCCAGCTGGGGCTGCCGCCCGGCACCACGGAGCAGACGCCCCTGCACGTGGTGATGGTGCGTGCACGTGGTGATGGTGCGTGCACGTGGTGATGGTGCGTGCACGTGGTGATGGTGGTATGTGGTGATGGTGGTATGTGGGGCGTCATGGCTTCTTATGTCAGCATATGTGTGTGTGTGCATGCTTGTGTGTGGGTGTGTCCGTGCGTGCATGTGTGCGTGAGTGCATGTGTGTGTGAGTGCATGTGTGCGTGAGTGCAAGTGTGCGTGCGTGCATGTGTGCGTGCGTGCATGTGTGCGTGAGTGCATGTGTGCGTGCGTGCATGTGTGCGTGCGTGCATGTGTGCGTGCGTGCATGTGTGCGTGAGTGCATGTGTGCGTGCGTGCATGTATGCGTGAGTGAATGCGTGCATGCGTGCATGTGTGCGTGGGTGCATGTGTGTGTGGGTGTGCATGTGTGTGGGGGATGAATGCGCCACATGTCATGCATCACATATGCTCATCGATCGTCACTGCGCATTGCATTTTTTTATTCCATGCTATTTCATTCCCTTGCATGCGCACCTCTTTTCACCTCTCTTTCTCTCCCGCTGTGTTGTGGCAATCACGGCCCGACCCCCCGTGCGTGTCATCCCCATGTCACCTCTGCCACGCCCCACAGGTGGAGAGGGAGGTGAAGCCGCTGTCACGTGGGCTGCGTGTGCTGCAGGAGCTGCTCTCAGCGCTGCTCGCCTGCTTCTTCGGCCTCCTCCTCTGGTCCGCCACCGTCCCCTTTCCTCTCGCCCTCGTCTGCCCTCTCGCCCACCGGTTTGCCTGTTCTTTTTGCAGCAAGCTAAGCTTTCTTGCCGCGCTGCATGCTCACATGCGTGCATGCTTGCGCTCGTGTGTGCATGCATGTGCGTGCATGCTTGCACTCATGTGTGTGTGGGGTGCCTGTGTGCCCGGTGCACCTTGGCAGGGCGGCAGCAACGACGGCGTTGAGGCGCTACGCCAGTGGCGTCACCGGCATGGGAGGGGGGGGGATGGCGGGGGGGCCAGCAGCGGGCATGGGGGCGGGCGGGGCGGGCGTGTACTCGCCCAAGGAGTATAACAAGGAGACCATGCCCGAGAAGGTGAGCGGCTGATGGCATGCCCGAGAAGGTGACATGAGAACATGCCCAAGAAGGTGAGATGAGAACATGCCCGAGAAGGTGAGAGGAGGACATGCCTGAGAAGGTGAGAGGAGAACATGCCCGAGAAGGTGAGATGAGAACATGCCCGAGAAGGTGAGATGAGAACATGCCCGAGAAGGTGAGATGAGAACATGCCTGAGAAGGAGATGAGAACATGCCCGAGAAGGTGAGATGAGAACATGCCCGAGAAGGTGGGATGAGAACATGCCCGAGAAGGTGAGATGAGAACATGCCCGAGAAGGTGAGATGAGAACATGCCCGAGAAGGTGAGATGAGAACGTGCCCGAGAAGGTGAGATGAGACCATGCCCGAGAAGGTGAGATGAGAACATGCCCAAGAAAGTGAGATGAGAACATGCCCGAGAAGGTGAGATGAGAACATGCCCGAGAAGGTGAGATGAGAACATGCCCGAGAAGGTGAGATGAGAACATGCCCGAGAAGGTGAGATGAGAGCATGCCCGAGAAGGTGAGATGAGAACATGCCCGAGAAGGTGAGATGAGAACATGCCCGAGAAGGTGAGAGGAGAACATGCCCGAGAAGGTGAGATGAGAACATGCCCGAGAAAGTGAGATGAGAACATGCCCGAGAAGGTGAGATGAGAACATGCCCGAGAAGGTGAGATGAGAACATGCCCGAGAAGGTGAGATGAGAGCATGCCGGAGAATGTGAGATGAGAACATGCCCGAGAAGGTGAGATGAGAGCATGCCCGAGAAGGTGAGATGAGAACATGCCCGAGAAGGTGAGATGAGAACATGCCCGAGAAGGTGAGATGAGAACATGCCCGAGAAGGTGAGATGAGAACATGCCCGAGAAAGTGAGATGAGAACATGCCCGAGAAGGTGAGATGAGAACATGCCCGAGAAGGTGAGATGAGAACATGCCCGAGAAGGTGAGATGAGAACATGCCCGAGAAGGTGAGATGAGAACATGCCCGAGATGGTGAGATGAGAACATGCCCAAGAAGGTGAGATGAGAACATGCCCGAGAAGGTGAGATGAGAACATGCCCGAGAAGGTGAGATGAGAACATGCCCAAGAAGGTGAGATGAGTACATGCCCGAGAAGGTGAGATGGGAACATGCCCGAGAAGGTGAGATGAGAACATGCCCGAGAAGGTGAGATGAGAACATGCCAGAGAAGGTGAGATGAGAACATGCCCGAGAAGGTGAGACGAGAACATGCCCGAGAAGGTGAGCGGCTGATGGCATGCCCGAGAAGGTAAGCGGCTGATGGCATTCCCGAGATGGTGAGCGGCTGATGGCATGCCCGAGAAGGTGAGATGAGAACATGCCCAAGAAGGTGAGATGAGAATATGCTCGAGAAGGCGAGATGAGAACATGCCCAAGAAGGTGAGATGAGAACATGCCCGAGAAGGTGAGATGAGAACATGCCCGAGAAGGTGAGATGAGAGCATGCCCGAGAAGGTGAGATGAGAACATGCCCGAGAAGGTGAGATGAGAACATGCCCGAGAAGGTGAGATGAGAACATGCCCGAGAAGGTGAGATGAGAACATGCCCGAGAAAGTGAGATGAGAACATGCCCGAGAAGGTGAGATGAGAACATGCCCGAGAAGGTGAGATGAGAACATGCCCGAGAAGGTGAGATGAGAGCATGCCGGAGAAGGTGAGATGAGAACATGCCCGAGAAGGTGAGATGAGAGCATGCCCGAGAAGGTGAGATGAGAACATGCCCGAGAAGGTGAGATGAGAACATGCCCGAGAAGGTGAGATGAGAACATGCCCGAGAAGGTGAGATGAGAACATGCCCGAGAAAGTGAGATGAGAACATGCCCGAGAAGGTGAGATGAGAACATGCCCGAGAAGGTGAGATGAGAACATGCCCGAGAAGGTGAGATGAGAACATGCCCGAGATGGTGAGATGAGAACATGCCCAAGAAGGTGAGATGAGAACATGCCCGAGAAGGTGAGATGAGAACATGCCCGAGAAGGTGAGATGAGAGCATGCCCGAGAAGGTGAGATGAGAACATGCCCGAGAAGGTGAGATGAGAACATGCCCGAGAAGGTGAGATGAGAACATGCCCGAGAAGGTGAGATGAGAACATGCCCGAGAAAGTGAGATGAGAACATGCCCGAGAAGGTGAGATGAGAACATGCCCGAGAAGGTGAGAGGAGAACATGCCCGAGAAGGTGAGATGAGAGCATGCCGGAGAAGGTGAGATGAGAACATGCCCGAGAAGGTGAGATGAGAGCATGCCCGAGAAGGTGAGATGAGAACATGCCCGAGAAGGTGAGATGAGAACATGCCCGAGAAGGTGAGATGAGAACATGCCCGAGAAGGTGAGATGAGAACATGCCCGAGAAAGTGAGATGAGAACATGCCCGAGAAGGTGAGATGAGAACATGCCCGAGAAGGTGAGATGAGAACATGCCCGAGAAGGTGAGATGAGAACATGCCCGAGATGGTGAGATGAGAACATGCCCAAGAAGGTGAGATGAGAACATGCCCGAGAAGGTGAGATGAGAACATGCCCGAGAAGGTGAGATGAGAGCATGCCCGAGAAGGTGAGATGAGAACATGCCCGAGAAGGTGAGATGAGAACATGCCCGAGAAGGTGAGATGAGAACATGCCCGAGAAGGTGAGATGAGAACATGCCCGAGAAAGTGAGATGAGAACATGCCCGAGAAGGTGAGATGAGAACATGCCCGAGAAGGTGAGATGAGAACATGCCCGAGAAGGTGAGATGAGAGCATGCCGGAGAAGGTGAGATGAGAACATGCCCGAGAAGGTGAGATGAGAGCATGCCCGAGAAGGTGAGATGAGAACATGCCCGAGAAGGTGAGATGAGAACATGCCCGAGAAGGTGAGATGAGAACATGCCCGAGAAGGTGAGATGAGAACATGCCCGAGAAAGTGAGATGAGAACATGCCCGAGAAGGTGAGATGAGAACATGCCCGAGAAGGTGAGATGAGAACATGCCCGAGAAGGTGAGATGAGAACATGCCCGAGAAGGTGAGATGAGAACATGCCCGAGAAGGTGAGATGAGAACATGCCCGAGATGGTGAGATGAGAACATGCCCAAGAAGGTGAGATGAGAACATGCCCGAGAAGGTGAGATGAGAACATGCCCGAGAAGGTGAGATGAGAACATGCCCAAGAAGGTGAGATGAGTACATGTCCGAGAAGGTGAGATGAGAACATGCCCGAGAAGGTGAGATGAGAACATGCCCGAGAAGGTGAGATGAGAACATGCCAGAGAAGGTGAGATGAGAACATGCCCGAGAAGGTGAGACGAGAACATGCCCGAGAAGGTGAGCGGCTGATGGCATGCCCGAGAAGGTGAGCGGCTGATGGCATGCCCGAGATGGTGAGCGGCTGATGGCATGCCCGAGAAGGTGAGATGAGAACATGCCCAAGAAGGTGAGATGAGAATATGCTCGAGAAGGCGAGATGAGAACATGCCCAAGAAGGTGAGATGAGAACATGCCCGAGAAGGTGAGATGAGAACATGCCTGAGAAGGTGAGATGAGAACATGCCCGAGAAGGTGAGATGAGAACATGCCCGAGAAGGTGAGCGGCTGATGGCATGCCCGAGATGGTGAGATGAGAACATGCTCGAGAAGGCGAGATGAGAACATGCCCAAGAAGGTGAGATGAGAACATGCCCGAGAAGGTGAGATGAGAACATGCCCGAGAAGGCGAGATGAGAACATGCCCGAGAAGGTGAGCGGCTGATGGCATGCCCGAGTTGGTGAGCGGCTGATGGCATGCCCGAGATGGTGAGCGCATGATTGAGACAGTGAGAGCATGTTTGAGAAGGTGAGAGCACGTGTGAGAGCATGTGTGAGAGCATGTGTGAGAGCATGTGTGAGAGCATGTGTGAGAGCATGTGTGAGAGTGTGACAGAGCAAGCGACTGCCATAGTTGTGCCAAGCTTCATCGTTGCATGTTCACCGCCACCCACCTCGCCTTTCTTGTTTCTGCTGCTCTTCCCCCCCCTCGCTCTTGGTGCGTCCATGTGCCCCCCCCTGGTCAGAGTGTGCGCACGTTCAAGGACGTGAGGGGGTGTGACGAGGCGAAGGCGGAGCTGGAGGAGATCGTGGAGTATCTGCGCGCCCCCGACCGCTTCACCCGCCTCGGTGGCAAGCTGCCTAAGGTGAGAGGGGAAGGGGAGCACTCAGCTGAAGGTGCGAGTGAGGGGGGCACGCTGCTGAAGGTGCGAGATAGGGGGGCACGCTGCTGAAGGTGCGAGATAGGGGGGCACGCTGCTGAAGGTGCGAAATAGGTGGGCACGCTGCTGAAGGTGCGAAATAGGGGGGCACGCTGCTGAAGGTGCGAGATAGGGGGGCACGCTGCTGAAGGTGCGAAATAGGGGGGCACGCTGCTGAAGGTGCGAGATAGGGGGGCACGCTGCTGAAGGTGCGAATAGGGGGGCACGCTGCTGAAGGTGCGAGATAGGGGGGCACGCTGCTGAAGGTGCCTGTAGGAGTGAGTGGGAGAGGAGGGAAGGAGGGGGGGTGGGGTATTGAGGTGGATGGAACGTCGTATGGGGTGGGGTTATGGGGGGATCATTGTGGAGCCTAGCCCGCTGTGCTGCATCCGCCACCACCCGTGCTCCTCCCACCCCTCGTCTCCAACATGCGTGGCCTATGTGCTCGGCACTTGCCTGAGCGCCTCTCACTCCTTTCCTCCGTGATTCTGCCCTGTGCCTCATGGGTGCAGGGGGTGCTGCTGATCGGCCCACCAGGCACGGGCAAGACGCTGCTCGCCAAGGTGCCCCCCTCTGCTGCCCCCTCCTTTCCTCTGCGCTTTTTGCTTGCATCACTCTCCCCTCCCCTCCCCTCCCCTCCCCTCCCCTCTTCTCCCCTCCCCTCCCCTCTTCTCCCCTCCCCCCACCTCCGCTCCTCTCCGCTCCCTTCCATCCGCCTCGTCTCCATCCACTCGCCGCTGCTCTGTCTATCTGAGGCGCCTCATTCCCTCACACCACTGTCACCCGCCTCCTCTGCTCACCCTCGTCCCCCCCGCCCCCTCCCACTCCGTGCTCGCATGGGCGCGGCGGTGTGGGCGGGCGGCGGCAGGCCATAGCGGGCGAGGCGGGGGTGCCCTTCTTCTACCGCGCCGGCTCCGAGTTCGAAGAGATGTGCGCCCTGGGAAGGGAACGGGGGACACACACACACGGGGTCAACGGGCGGCCGGGGACACAGAGGGTCAATGGGGGGCAGGGGGCACAGGGCTGCTTCCTTGTACTGCTTATGCATGCGCCATGTTGCTCATCAACCATGTTGCTCATCCACCATGTTGCTCATCCACCATGTTGCTCATCCACCATGTTGCTCATCCGCCATGTTGCTCATCCGCCATGTTGCTCATCGGCCATGTTGCTCATCCACCATGTTGCTCACCCACCATGTTGCTCATCCACCATGTTGCTCATCCACCATGTTGCTCACCCACCATGTTGCTCATCCACCATGTTGCTCATCCACCATGTTGCTCACCCACCATGTTGCTCATCCACCATGTTGCTCAAGCTCATCTGCCATGTTGCTCATCCACCATGTTGCTCATCCGCCATCTTGCTCATCCACCATGTTGCTCATCCACCATGTTGCTCATCCACCATGTTGCTCATCCACCATGTTGCTCATCCACCATGTTGCTCATCCACCATGTTGCTCACCCACCATGTTGCTCATCCACCATGTTGCTCAAGCTCATCCGCCATGTTGCTCATCCACCATGTTGCTCATCCGCCATCTTGCTCATCCACCATGTTGCTCATCCACCATGTTGCTCATCCACCATGTTGCTCATCCACCATGTTGCTCATCCACCATGTTGCTCACCCACCATGTTGCTCATCCACCATGTTGCTCATCCACCATGTTGCTCATCCACCATGTTGCTCATCCACCATGTTGCTCCTCCACCATGTTGCTCAAGCTCATCCGCCATGTTGCTCATCCACCATGTTGCTCATCCGCCATCTTGCTCATCCACCATGTTGCTCATCCACCATGTTGCTCATCCACCATGTTGCTCAAGCTCATCCGCCATGTTGCTCATCCACCATGTTGCTCATCCGCCATGTTGCTCATCCACCATGTTGCTCATCCACCATGTTGCTCATCCGCCATGTTGCTCATCCGCCGTCTTGCTCATCCACCATGTTGCTCATCCGCCATGTTGCTCATCCGCCATGTTGCTCATCCACCATGTTGCTCATCCACATCCGCCATGTTGCTCATCCGCTATGTTGCTCATCCACCATGTTGCTCATCCACCATGTTGCTCATCCGCCATGTTGCTCATCCGCCGTCTTCCTCATCCACCATGTTGCTCATCCACCATGTTGCTCATCCACCATGTTGCTCATCCACCATGTTGCTCATCCACCATGTTGCTCATCCACCATGTTGCTCATCCACCATGTTGCTCATCCGCCATGTTGCTCATCCGCCATGTTGCTCATCCGCCATGTCGCCATGTTGCTCATCCGCCATGTCGCCATGTTGCTCATCCACCATGTTGCTCATCCACCATGTTGCTCATCCACCATGTTGCTCATCCGCCATGTTGCTCATCCGCCATGTTGCTCATCCACCATGTTGCTCATTCACCATGTTGCTCATCCGCCATGTTGCTCATCCACCATGTTGCTCATCCACCATGTTGCTCATCCGCCATGTTGCTCATCCACCATGTTGCTCAAGCTCATCCGCCATGTTGCTCATCCACCATGTTGCTCATCCACCATGTTGCTCATCCGCCATGCTGCTCATCCGCCGTCCACCATTCCATGTCTGCACTCTTCCGTGCCACCACTGCACCATCCAACTGCCACAAATTTTGTGTCATGCTGCATCGCATCCTCTGGCTGCCCATGGCTGGGCCTGGCAGGTTTGTGGGAGTGGGGGCGCGGAGGGTGCGCACGCTGTTTCAAGCGGCGAAGAAGAAGGTGAGTGAGCACCGTGCCGCACGAAAGATGCCCATTGGTCAGCCAGTGCTAGCTGTACGCCCCCTGGCGGACAGGGGAGTGGAATGAGAGCACCCACGCTGCTTAGGTCGCCCTTTTAGAGTTTTGTCCGTGATTTACTTCATATGGTATCTGCCAGGCTTGATTCAGAGAATTCCTGAACCACTGTCATGACATGTGATTGCTTTGGGTTGCGAGGCAGAGCACATGGCATATATGCTGTTTGCTCACGCGCTTGTGCTCCTTCCCATGTGGCCCACATGCACTGTGCGGGTGGCAGGCGCCGTGCATCGTGTTCATAGATGAGATTGACGCGGTGGGGGGCAGTCGCAAGCAGTGGGAGGGGCACAGCAAGAAGACGCTCAACCAGCTGCTCGTCGAGATGGACGGCTTCGAACCCAACGAGGTCAACCCCCCGCCCCCAACGCCCCCACCACTACCACTGCCACCGCCACTGCCACTGCCACTGCCACCACTGCTGCTCCCACACTCACCACCATATTCCTGTCTTCCACTTCCCCTATGCTCGCCATTTCCCCGCACTTCCCTTCACGCCGTGAAGGTCTTTGAAGCCCAATTTCTACCTCTCTTCCCCCTGTCTATGCACCCCCTGTGCGTGGTGCGGGGTGCATGCTATGGAATGGCTTGGCATGGCATGGCATTGCATGGCACGGCATGGGAACGGCATTGCATGGCACTGCACGGTATGGGCACGGTATGGGCATGGCATGGCACGGCACGCGCACGGCATGGTGTGGCATGGCACGGCATGGCACGGCATGGCACGGCATGGCATGGCATGGCATGGCATGGCATGGCATGGCACGGCATGGCATGGCATGGGCATGGCACGGCATGGGCATGGCATGGCATGGCGTGGCAGGGCATCATAGTGATGGCGGCCACCAACGTACCGGACATGCTCGACCCCGCCCTCACCCGCCCCGGCCGCTTCGACCGCCACGTGAGCCCGCGTGGGGGGGAGGAGAGGGGGCAGAGGCCCGGGAGGAGCATGTGGGCGTGGGATGAGCACTACGTGTGGGAGCAAACTGGCACCCCCCTTGCACTCTTTCCTCTCACTCCTCTTCATCACTCTTCCTGTGTTACCACTTGTGCTGTGCATGCAAGTTCTTAAGCTGTCCCTGCATTGGTCTCTATTTGTGCGCTTGTGGATGCGTGTGAGTGGTTGTGTGCACGTGTGACTGTGTGTGAGTGCTTGTGTGCACGTGTGACTGTGTGTGAGAGCTTGTGTGCACGTGTGACTGTGTGTGAGAGCTTGTGTGCACGTGTGACTGCGTGTGAGAGCTTGTGTGCCCGTGTGACTGTGTGTGAGAGCTTGTGTGCACGTGTGACTGTGTGGGAGAGCTTGTGTGCACGTGTGACTGTGTGTGAATGCGCGTGTGCACGTGTGACTGTGTGTGAGAGCTTGTGTGCACATGTGACTGTGTGTGAGTGCGTGTGCACGTGTGACTGTGTGTGAGTGCGCGTGTGCACGTGTGAGTGTGTGTGAGCGCCGGTGCGGCCCATGAGCAGGTGGTGGTGCAGGCACCGGACGTGAGGGGGAGGAGGGAGATCCTGGAGCTGTATTTGGAGGGCAAGCCGCTGCACGCTGATGTTGATGTCGCCATGCTCGCCAAGGGCACTCCCGGCTTCAGCGGGGCAGGTGGGCCGTGGGGCGGGTGGGCCGTGGGGCAGGTGGGCTGTGGAGAAGGTGGGGTGCTGGGCAGGTGGGGAGCTGGGCTGTAGGGTCGTAGGGGGCTGAAGGTGGCGGGGTGGGTGCAGCATGGGCCAGAGTGGCTGGTGGACAAGGAAGGAAGCACGAAGAGGGGGCTTGGCCGGGCAGAAGCAGCAGGTGGGTGCAGGTGAGCACAGCAGCTACCCACGACCCCTGCTCAGCACAATACTAGGCCCCCTCCCTTTCCCGCTCGCCTCTGTCCTTCCTGCCCTCCCCCCGTCTGCCCCGTCCCGTGTGCTGGGCATCAGACCTGGCGAATCTGGTGAACATGGCGGCGGTGAAGGCGGCGCTGGACGGCGTGGCGGCGGTGGGCCGCGACCAGCTCGAGTTCGCCAAAGACAAGATCCTCATGGGGGCTGAGCGCCGCTCCCTCGTGCTCTCCCAGGCCTGCCGTAAGGTGCGTGTGCAAGCCTAGGGGATGGGAGCCTGGTGGGTGGTGCTGCCATGAGAGTGCGGTGAGCTGGATGCCACTGCCAGGTACTTGTGTGTGCTCCCCTGCACCACCGTCCCAATCACCCTCCGTTTCCCCCCCAACTCTCCCCCCCTCTCCCCCCCTTGTGGGATACAGAACACGGCATACCACGAGAGTGGGCATGCGCTGGTGGCGCTGCACACGGCGCACGCGCTGCCCATCCACAAGGCCACCATCATGCCAAGGGGGGCGGCGCTGGGCATGGTCACGCAGATGCCAGATGACGACTTTGAGACGAGCCGCACGCGTGCGCAGATGCTGGCGCGGCTGGACGTGTGCATGGGGGGGCGCGTGGCGGAGGAGGTGGTGTTCGGCGCGCAGCACGTCACCAGCGGGGCGCGGGACGACCTGAGGCAGGCCACGCGGCTGGCGCGGCAGATGGTGCGCGAGTGCGGCATGAGCGACAAGCTGGGGCCCGTCTTCATTGACAGCGACGGCGCAGGGGAGGGGCGCGTGAGCGGCGAGTTGCTGCGCGTGGCAGATGCTGAGGTGGCACGGCTGCTCAGAGAGGCGTACGCACGCGTCACCACCCTCCTCAAGCAGGTGAGCGTTGCCTTCCTCCTTGAAACTATGCGCCCTGCCCTCTGGATATAAACACTGTGCGTTCTCCATGCCGCTGCATGCCTTACGTTTTCCCCCTCACTGCCCCCTCTCCCCCCGGTCAACTCTCACATGCCCTTGTGTGTGGGCATGAGGCAGCACGAGCAGCAGCTGCATGTGCTGGCAGCAGCGCTGTTGGAGCGCGAGACAATGACAGCAGAGGACATCAAGAAGCTCCTCGCCTCCCCTGCCACTACCCTCTCCCCTGCCGCCGCTGCTACTAATGCCGATGATCTTTCCAGGCCACTCACCCCAGCAGACCTCCAAGCACTCCCAGCAGCACCTGCTGCTTTCACCGCTGCCTCACCTCCCTCTCACGACTCTGCTGCAACCCTGCCTGACTTGGCCTCCCCTGCTGCATGCTGACCTTGATGGATGATTATCAACCGTGTTCCACCAGCTCCATAGAAAATAGAGTATAGAATAAGCAGAGGTAGAAGCTTATTGCCATCTTTTTTCTCTCGGTTTGCTTTCATAGTTAATCCTGTCAAACTATGTTTGTAGAAATATATATGTTGTAGTGAGTTGCATGTTAGGGGATACAAGAACACTTGGCTTGTATCCAGGGCTCTGGTTTTCAGACAACATCCGTCTGAGGCCATGTTCCTATGGCCCCTTATCAGGCCAACCTCTTATCAAGCTCGCTACTTTTACCACTATTTTCCTAAACCCAAAAACCCTCGCTACTTTTACCAGGCAAGGCTGACAAGAGGTTTGCCTGATACGAGCGTAGGAACATGCCCTGATTGTCTGAAAATCGGGCGTGTTTTGCTAAATTCGTATGCTTTCTCAGACATCTAGGATAGGGTCGTATGAATGTTAAGACATGCCTATATTGTTCATCTATATAATCAGACTTGGGGCTTATGTCAAACCAGTGCCCTAGATATCAGACTTTTTACGCTGATTCAGCGTCCATTCAGACTTTTTTTTGGTCCCTGGTCTGAACTGTAAAAAAAACATTTATGTACCTACTCTGTTTATTCAGAGTTTTTTTAATTGTAGTGGCTGAAATTTCAGATAGATTTTAGGGGTGTAGGCTGAGCCTCAGCCTTGTTTCGGAGGTGCACTCTGAAACGGGTACTGCAGTGGTCCGCCAGCCTGGCGGCGTGTTGCACTAACACCATCAATCACGGGCGGGAAACGAAACATTTCCCGAGCACGGCACCGCACCGCACAGTCGCGTTAGGCCTGGAATGCTGTAATCTGGCTCAAATCCAGCCAATCGTGGCATCGCAGCAGTCAGTGTTGGCAAGATTCCTTGCCAACACATACCTCGCAGCGCGCTGCACCCGGACAACACCACAACCGTCCACCCTCCTCCACCGTCCACCTTGCCAACACATAGCTCGCACCGCGCTGCAACTCTCACGTCACCACATCCATCCACCCCACTCACCCCACCTTCCCTGCACACACGACCAGGTGCAGTGTATGCAGTGACCAGCCGGGGGATGAGCGGTCCAAATACGAGGACCACTCATGTTCCTCATCGTCGCCCTTCGTGGGGGTCACTCGGTGCCCTGTCTCTCTCGCTTCATTCCATTTCCTCGCCAGAAGCTAGTGCTCGAACCCTTGTTTCAAACCCTCTCTCCTCGCCCTCACGCAGCCAGTGCTCGGCAGACTCAATGGCTGCCACAGACGCTGGCGCCGAATCGGCCGACGATGACGACGAGGCCAATCGTGGGCCTGATTCAGTCGCTTTGACCGGCCTCGACTTTCTTAGATCTTGCTTACCGAATCATGTCCCACCTAGCTCCACCTTCGGAACCTAGCTCCATCCGTCCTCCGATTTCCGTGCAACCTGAACCCTTGCCCCACCGCCGCCACCAAACCAGTCATAGCTGCGACACAGTCTGTGCCCCATGAGGCGTCCGCAGAAGCACCGTCCCGTCCCGCGCCACCGACGAAGCTGCGGTACCGACAGACCACGTTTCCGCGGGCAAATCCTCCTCCTCCAACGACCGTTGAAGCTCCAGCGAGAGTTGAATCTCCCATGCAGGGCAGCTCAAAACCCACCGACAGGTCCGACTCCGGAAAGTTGGAGTTGAAATACGAAGAAGCTCACTTTCGTTTTAAAACAAAGTGGTCTACCGATTACGAGTGGCTGATACTAACAAAAACCTCTTCCGGTGCCCCTAGTTTTGTGTGCAGCATATGCCTGGAGTTTGCAGGACTTACAGGCAAGTGTGGACGGGGTGGTGAGGGCGCGACCGATGTGCAGACTCAAGCCTTCAAGAAGCACGAAGGGACGGTGAAGCATCGTTTCGCGCTGAAGCGGCAGGAGGACCTCCTCCAGAAGTATGGCGATCAGCGGCGCATCGGCCTACACCCGAAAGCGCAGGACAAGGAGATGGTGCAGATGTCGGCGCTAGTGGAGTCCTTGTACTTCATGAGCTCGTGCAACGAGCCCATGGACGCTTGGATTCGGCTTGTGCGCTATCTGGCAAAGAAGAAGGTGCCCGGGTTTCCAGAGCAGGGTTACCGCATGTATTACAACACGTAAGTTGTATACCAATTCCCAGTCGAGTCCTTAGTTTCGTCTATTTTACATTCTCTAACTGCCTCTGTTTTTTTTTTTTTTTTTCTGAACACGTACGGCTTCGGGGAGTTAACACAGGCAATTGCAACATGGCTCCAAACAACACAACTGGATCACCTTCTAACGAGCCACTTCATCGGCATCACCCTCGACGAGAGCACAGATCGACGGCGCGGCAAACACATGATAATGTTTGCAACCTTCCTGCGCGACGGTCAAGTTGTGACGGAGTTTTTGGCTCACCTCATGGTTGAAAGAGCTGATGCTGCATCCCTCTGTAGTCTGCTGCTTTCCCACATCAGGGCTATTGGCGTGGACCTCTACCGTATTTCGGGAGTGAGCACGGACGGCGCGATGGTGATGGTGGGGGCCCACAACGGTGTGGTTGCGCGAAGTGACGAATTATCTCGGGGCGGGCCATCACGACGCGTGTGTGGCACTCTGCACCGACTTCGCCGAGGGCCTCGTCGAAGAGCTTTAGTCTAAGCTAGGCGACCTCGACTCTCTTTCGTGGGTGCGGCTTTTCATTCCTGACGAGTGGCCTCCGAATTGGGAGAGGAGCACACGGTAGGCACAGTGCCTTGAGTGGCTGTTGTCGCTAGTCACTCTGTTCCGCGCCGACCACTGTGACAAGATTCTGCCAGGTCTGTTCGTATATTGATGCTCTCTTGACTGTTGTCCCGTCCTGTACTAATCCCACTCCTTGTCCAATGTTGCAGGCATTGACAAGAAGCGAGCAGTGAAGGAGCTGCGGACTCTGTGCCCAGTCTTGGCCAGAGCTCCAAAGAGCGAGCGCAAGTTCAACACGGGACTGACTGCAATCCTCAAGACACCAGACTGGCAGCAAGCATACCCCAACCTCGTCAGGCTCTGGGTGGCAGTTGCAGTGCTGCCTCTCAGCACCGTCGAGTGCGAGAGAGGATTCTCGCGACAGAATCTCATCAAGACGTGGCAGAGGGGTAGTTTAAAAGACTGTAGGCTCAGTGACTTGCTCTGTATGTCTATGCTAGACTATGAGCTGGACGTGCCTGGGGTTGTTGAGATTTGGCGCAGCTATAAGAAGCGCCGGCCAGTGACAGCACCTGCTGCAAGACACAGGGAGGAGCCCCAGAGAGCTGGGAAAGAGGCTGTAGAGGAGCCAGTAGTGCAGCGGGCAGTTTTAGAGTCACGTGTGACAGAATCTGAGTCAGATAGTTAGAAATGTTTTTCTCGTGCAGTATAAAGGAAGCAGCCTTCAATATTAGTGTAACACTGAACTTTCAGCCAAAAAAAAACCGCAGCAGACTAAATTTCTAGCCTAAAATTTGGACGCAACTCTGACTGACAGCGTATAAAGAAGGGTACACCCTGAGCCATCAGCGTGTCCCGAAACGAATCTAGGGCCCTGTGTCAAACTATAATGCTGCTTATGTTGTGTAGGCTATATTGGGGTAGCCTATATGGAGTACAACCCAATTAGGGTTAGTACTTGTACCACATTTCTGATCAATGCATTCATTCCTGCACAGTTATTCTGACATGGTATTCAGAGCAGGAAACCTGTTGAGTTTTTAGGGCCCATTGATTGTCTTGCTAATTTCATGCCCGAAGCGCCCTTGCGCTATCCAGCCCTCTCGCATAGTGTCACGCTGCCCTGCAGCTACTCGCCTGCCTGCCCTAGCACGCTGCCCTACTGTCACATACGCCCCTGCTGCCCGAGAGCAGCCCCTGCCCCGCGTGCCCCTGCTGCTTGCGAGCAGCCCCTGCCCCGCACGCCACTGCTGCCTGTGAGCAGCCCCTGCCCCGAGCGCCCCTGCTGCATGTGAGTAGCCCCTTTCCCGTGCGCCAGTGCTGCCTGTGAGCAGCCCCTGCCCCGAGCGCCCCTGCTGCCTGCGAGCAGCCCCTTCTGCCCGCGAGCAGCTCCTGCCCCAGCGCGCCCCGTCTGCAGGGTTGCGTCTGCACGGTTCACGCCCTACTCCCCTGGGCGTCGCGCCCTGCTGCAGCCCTCGCGTTGCGCCCTGCTGCAGCTCGCGTGTCGTGCTCTACTGCTCCGCGCGTCGCGCCCTACTGCAGCTCGCACGTCGCGCCCTACTGCTCTGCGCGTCACGCCTTGCTGCAGCCCGCACGTCGCGCTCTGCTGCCCCGCGCGTCGCGCCCTGCTGCAGCCCGCGCGTCGCGCCCTGCTGCCCGCACTGCTCAGGCCGAGCCGTGCCGCCCAGCCCGAGCCGCCCTGCCCAACCCGATCCGCCCTGGTGCTCGTGCTACCGCTACTGCTGTTGGAGCTGTTGGTGCTCGTGCTACTGGTACTGGAGCTGCCGGAGCTGGTGGTGGTGCTGCTGCTGGAGGTCCCGGAGGTGCTTGTACTGGATGTACTGGAGCTGCTGGTGCTGGAGGTGCTGTAGGTGCTGGAGGTGCTGTGGGTGCTGGAGGTGCTGGAGCTGCTGGAGGTGCTGGAGCTGCTGGTCTCGGAGGTGCTCGTACTGGAAGTACTGGAGCTACTAGTGCTGGAGGTGCTGGAGGTGCTGGAGGTGGTGGTGGTGCTAGAGGTGCTAGAGCTGGAGGCACTGAAGTTGGAGTCGCTGGAGCTGGAGGCGCTCGAGCTGGAGGCCCTGGCGCTGGAAGTGCTGGCGCTGGGGGCGCTAGAGCTGGCCGTACTGGTGCTGGAGGCACTATGCCGCGGTGCCTGTTTTTCGCTCCACCGTTGCCGTCGTCTCTGTCGCTACCTGGCTCGGTGCTTCGCCAGGTTCTTAGTCTCCCATATTCTACTGGCCTTACTCCTCCCTTTCTGTGTCCACCGCCTGACCAATCGTAGCCACAGTTACATCCAGCCTCCCCACTACCTCCT